TTACAGATTTTACACACCTTGAAGCTTGGTGGGGTAATGTTGGTTTAAAGGGGAAAATGCTACTTGTATATTGGTAGATGGAGAATACATATATGGCCAGTGTGTGGCTAAGGGGGAACACTGAGGTGGTCGAGGGCATGATGGTGCCATGTTATACTGCAGTTAAGACCAGAGCCATCCCATTTTAACTTTTCCACCCCCTCTCCCAAGAGTTGTAGATTTCCTCCTCCCCAGTTGTGCAGAAATACAATAGCTGCCTTACTGAACACACATTTCTTTTTAATATCTCCCAACAAGCAGGCATTGGATGAAATTTGTCCAGTAATAATTGAATTGTGTTTGACTGCAAGCATATACCTCTGCATCGGTTCCATCTGGAGAGCAATGAGTGCTGTAATTTAAGGTCTGTATTTTTGACTTTTCATAGTTACCACTCTTCCAGGTTAATTGTCCGTCCCATTGTTTTGCAGCACAGAAGCGTGAATAGGTTTCCTGACCTATCTTGTTGACCCTTCCTTATTTGTATATCTATGTCATGTATCCTGTTATTCATCTGTTTGAAGATCAGCAGTCTAGTCTCTTCAGTCCTTTTTAGTGTGAACAGCTTTACTGAAGTCATTTTTGTTTGGTGGTTCAGAAGTTCTTTCTACTCCCCCCTTTGCCTCATTAGGGGTGTGTGTGTGTGTGTGCAAGCATACACATTCTGTTTTTGTTCTTTGTTTTGGCTAATGTATAACCCTCTTTCAAGAGGGCACTAGAGGTGGCCCCTGGCTCCAAATTGAACCACTTACTGCAGTAGCACTAACACCTTGTCCAAGGGCCTGAATAAGATAATGTACAGTTGGAGAATTCCTGATCCCATCACCCAGCTGCCATTCCCAGCCTTCTTTGGAAGATGCTGTGGGAGATGATGAACAAAACCAATATAAGATTATTTTAAAAGAATATTTTCTCACAGATTTGAAAGGGCTGTTGGCTTTTGGTATTCCCCAGATTAGTTCTAATTTTGAGAGATAAATGGAGATGGTGAGGAGAGAAGTATCAAATTCTACCTTCAACCTGATTGGGACGTTGTGGAACATAGAACAGTGTGAAACAGTGGAAAGCCCACGCAGATCACTGTTTAGGTTTATGGTATATTCCCCCTTTCATCCAAGAGCTGAAGGCAGTGGAGATACTGTTTCCTCTTTCCTCACTATAACAGCCCTGTGAAGTAGGTTGGGATGGGAGAATGCTGCTGGCCCAAAGTCACCCAGTGAACTTCTGTGGCTGAAGGTGGACCTGAACTGGATCTCCCCTCTGCCAGTCCAACACCTTAATCACTACACCACATTGGCGTATCTATAGTATCACTGCTATGTTTATTATTTGCATTATCATTTGGACTGCAAGACAATCAGCTGTTACTCAAGGTAACTATATTATTTGTTTCATATGCACACGAAATTTAGCTACCTACATAAACTCCCCTTTTTTATGTCAACAAAGCAAATAGTTTTGAACATACATTAATTTACAAGTAAGTTATCAGCAATCTGTGGGGATTTTGATGAAAGGAATACATATCTATGGGATGCTTTATTAGAGAATACCTTGAAAACTAATGGGAACCTGTGAAAACCTTATCAGGTTTTAAAAGCTTCAATAGTAACAGCTATACAGGATGTCATTTAAAGTTGGCATCTATATACAGTCACATAAAAGGCAGTACCAGTAGCCAGCTGAGTACATGGCATACTTTAACAGACGAAGCTAACCCTGAAGGATGTTTGATTTTGAGCCTTTTCCCTCTGTGGTCTCCACCTATCCTTGAGTTGCCAGAACACCTTCCTACCATTTCCTACCATACTACTGTCCACATCGCTAATCCCTATCTCTGCCTCATCGACTTCCCTCTAAAGCCAGATGGGACACGGCTAAGACAAAGCTGAGTAGATTTTATATGTGTTGAAGCTGCCTTCAGACAATGGACGGTGATGGACAGAGGAAGAAAATATGACTTTAGCATCAGTACCAATAAGAATGACTTATGTTTGTTTCATGGATGGGATAGGGAAGAGATTAAGGTTATATTATGGGGACAGAGTAAAACAAATACAAACAAATATGTTGCCAGGGCATGTTTCTGCTGTGGTTAGGTGTAGGAAGAAGTAGGGAAAAGCCCTTTTTCAGAGTTTCACTGCTGTATTCACGAAGTATTGTTTAAAGTATCCTTCCACAGCCAAGTGTTCTCCAGATGCATTGAAATCTTCCATAATTCCTGTCTAACTTCTGCAATCAAACACATCTGGAGGCATTATATTGGGCAAAGCTACTTTCAGAGCTTTCTAAGAGAAACATCCCTTTGGGAAGGGAATTTAATCCTTAAAAAAAAATGGTATCAAATTTTACTGTAAATTAAAATGTTTTGAGAAAGTCAGGTGAAATCTATTGGCAGGTTCATAACTATCTTTCTTCCATTTAAGCCTCTGATGTTTTTCAAAAATATTAGGAAGCAGAAAAAGTTAAATATGTTTAAGCTATGGTTATTTCCACTAGGATCTCCAAAAGATATGTAAACTGCACTGGAGACATGCAGCCCAGTTGGACGCATGTATACTCAGAGATAAGTAAATATATCCAGTAAATGTACAAAATCTAGTATTTCTCTCCATTATTAATCACCCATTGCACTTGCATAACTAATAATTACATATGAGTCCATCTTCTTGAAAATGATATCTTAGATTGCTGAAGTTATCTAAAATGTGAAAAACTTTCACTTTGAAACTCCACCAAAACACGCACAAATACTATTGCAATCTAATGTTCTTATTTGATGAAATATTCTAATGAAATCTAAGGTCTGGCTTTTGATGGTTTACAGGCATTGAAAGATCAGAGCTGATATGATTGCCAAAATAAGGTGTTTAATGCTCATATGTTTCTGTAGGAGATGGGAAAATATGTAATACTCTCCCACTAAAATTAAAGATAGGTCATGGTTATGCTAAATTAGTTGCCTAGCCAATTATATTTACACGTATGTCATGATCTAATAATGTTCTAAAGTTTTCCTATTCTATTTTGATTTTATAATGATCTGGTACTTGGCAATTAACCCCCCCCCAAGTATTCTAATTACTTAAGAATAAATATGCAGAGGAATAGGTGGAATATCACATTTCTATAAGAAAGTCTTCCCCAACCTGCTGCCTTCTGTATGTATTACTGCCGCATAATCTCAGTAGAAAAGCTTGCCTTGCTCTGCATTTGCACAGCCACATCATTCACTAGTAATGTTGAAATTCTAGACCAGCATTTATTATAGGAGCAATTAATCAAGACATCTCATAAAACCTTATCTATGTATACTGACGTTCTTAAGCCTTTTCTGAAAAGTGGAAATGAGAAACGCATGTCTAAACTTTTTCTACTGGTTAACAGCATTACAATCTCCAAGTTAAAATTGGCCCGGTCCTTCTGATTTGCTACATATACGCCTTAACAGATCTTACTGTTAGTAGACGTGGCTCAATAGAGTCAACATACAGGAGTAGAAAGATCCAACAGCTACCAATTGGAGAAAGAAAAGGCTCTGATGTATTTCCAGCCCACCCATGCTTTGGAGTAAAACAACCGCGAACTGCAAAATTTTGCTCGGTATTCCAATACAGGACAGAGTGATCAGCACGTACCGCAAGTCCTGTGTATTCTAAAGTCTCTACCGAAGTCAGGGGAACAGAGTAAAAACAGCGGAAAACAATGCCGAAGAACGGTAGAGGTAGGTCATCCAGTTTTGCTTTTTTTTAATTGCAATCGAGAAAATTGATTTTTGGTGTGTATATCTATATCTATATATCTATATCTCAATACATGTCCTCTTTATGTCCAGGTTTCTGCTTGCAACGTCGTACATCGCTGGTTCAGTGTTAACAGTGATGTGCTGGCGGGGGAGGAATTAAAGATGCGCTGAGAAGGGCGCCAAGTTGGCGGGCCGACCCTCCGCTAGCCGGGCGGTGTAGTACTGAGAGCTGGAGCACTCGCCTCTTCGCCCGGCCCACTTTGTGGGCGGGGATCAGCTGCGACGGGGTTAGGTTGCGTCTCCCTGCGTGTGTCTATAACTTTGTGTTGCCGCTCCTGGTTGTTAGGAGAAGGAATGTGGAAGTCGGCGGAGGGGAGGGCGACAGGTTGCTCGAGGGAACGGCAGCAGCTCCAGCGTTTCTCCTCCGCCGCTGCTTCGCCGCTTACTTCCTCTCCAGGGAACGAGCGTGCTCCTAAAGGCTGGGATTTTCCTCATTTTAATGCTTCTTCTGCTACTTAAAGTGGAACGACTTGGGAACGGCTCCAAAAGCAAGAATCCTGCAGTCGCAGGAGCAGCGGTAGGATCGGCGCCTCGTTTTCCTCCTGTGCATTTCGAGCTGGATTTTCTGCCGACTGAGCGGGTCCGGATTTGAGATCCGACTCCGAGGCGGCGGCTGCCGCCGCCGCTTCTCGCTGGCTCTTTCGTTCGCCCGCTTGACCTCTCGCCCTGCCTTTTTGCCGACGCTTTTTTAAATGACTTGGGGGGAGGGGGGAACTGTCAAGATGGCAGCAGCGGCGGCTGCAGGAGCGAGGAGGTTATGAGTGTGGCGGTGTCGATGCTGGAACAAAACCTGGGGAGCTTGCGGAGGACTTGGGTTTCTGGACCTGTTGGAAGATCGGCGATTTGACTTGTTTGAATTGTCCGCGTCACTTTCTTTTACGCGGAGGAAGAGGATTTAAAAGGAGAGGGAGGACAGACGTTTAAGTTTCCTCTCCTGGTTAAAAAGACTGTCTCTCTCCCCCCCCCCCCCTCTTTTTGGAGGCAGCGTTTTTTTTTTTTTTTTTTT